CCTCCGCTGTACACCCGAAAGCAGCCAGCTCTGCTGTCTCCCTGGACCTCTTGCATGCAGCAGCAGCAGCGCGGGGTGTTGTATAAGAGAAAATACAGAATAATATAATATAATAAAAGGCAGATGAAAGCAGATATAAATATAATATAGAGAGAAATATATATTGTTTAATATATATATGTATGTATTATACATATATTTTGCACATATTATACATATATATTTACATATAAATATATATGTATATGTATGGTGTATATTATATAAATATATCTGAACAGGAGGCCAGCGATGGCTACAAGGAGGACATATCTACAGGTGTATGTGAATTGCACTTTATAAAAAAAGAGAAAAAAAGAGAGAAAGACGAAAATAAATTATATTAAATAAAGATGCTGCAACAATACAACTGGCGGCGGCCCCCCTAGTATATGATAGTTGAGGATACACCGCGGCTCTACCGGCCGAAAGGACAAAGTTGCAAAGAGGAAAGCAGAAGAAAAAACGAGAAAAAAGAATAAATGAGCTGCAGAACGGCGAGAACTCGGCATTCAAGCTGGGGTGTACATACAGCGGCCTGCGGCGCCCGCCGACCCCCAGAGCTCCCGCGGCGGCTCCTAGCAACNGCTGGGGTGTACATACAGCGGCCTGCGGCGCCCGCCGACCCCCAGAGCTCCCGCGGCGGCTCCTAGCAACTTTATAGTATAAAAAGAAAGATGAAAGAGAGAAAATGTAATTCCTTTCTGCAGAAAAGAGAAGAGAATAAGAAGAGAAAAGGCCTCACCAACTCGCCGAGGTGTATGTGTGTGTGTTTGTGTGCGCGCCGCAGCAACTAGCAGCTACGCTGGGGTGTATCTACAGCTCGGCTCAGAAAGAAGAGGAAACTCAGCACTTGCGGGAAGCGTGAGAGCACAAATTAACGGCATTGAGCCGCTAAAAGTCACAAAACGACAGCCAATTCGTCCACAAAAAAGAAAACAAAAAATACACATAAGACACAGGCCGCCGCCGCCGCCCGCCCGGGCGCAGCAGCAGCAGCAGCAGCAGCAGCAGCAGCAGCGCTACTACACCACCGCAGTGGGGGAGGAGAGAGAGTGCTGATTCTCCTTCTAGATACCCGCAGCAGGTGCATCATCTTGCATTTAATTTGTTTATATTCATTTAACCTCCATAAACACAATACAAATATAAACTCATCGACTTCCTATACACCTTTCTCGCTCCTAGCCCTATCCCAACCAACCCAGGCCATCATCTGCTGCGCCTCCATTACATACACACACACACACGCTAGCGGGGGCGGCGGTGGGTCTTAACAAGACAGCAGCACGAGCTGCGTAGACACCCGAGTTAATCTTTATGTTAATAACTTAGATTCAAANCTTAACAAGACAGCAGCACGAGCTGCGTAGACACCCGAGTTAATCTTTATGTTAATAACTTAGATTCAAAGCCACATCCATTAAACCCGGAACACAGCAAGCTGCAGCTCTCACAATACTCCTTATGCATTCCCCAGCCCGCTTGCTTTTTCTGTCTTATACTGGTACTATGTGTATTTCTACTTCTGTGCAGGTTTACTGCTGAGATCCAACTAAATATTAAACACTTGTCTGCTACGCTGCTGCATGCATCCAAAGGAGCCTCTGTTATGCTTGCTTGTGGGGTTGTCTTGTATTGCAGTGGGTGTTGCAGCCAGCTCCGCTGCAACTCGTGACAGCCGTATTTCCTCCCCACCAGTCCCACTTACTTGTGCCTCTGTACCCAGAATGCTTAGAGACAGTGGCATCTCAGCTGCTTCTTGAGAAACTGTTGGCTCAAGGCTTGTGTCTCTATCGAAGCTGCCGACAGCCCTCGGCTGCGATCGATGTCGCATATGTTAGCACCGCATGCTTGAGAAGGGGGGGAACCCGGGCTCCGTGCCCGGCATCCAAACCTGAGCAGTCTAGAGCGCAGCTCAGCTAGTAGTACTGAAGGAATTTTGCAAGAAAAGTGACAAAATATTTGTGTTTTCTATCGCTAAAACAATCGCCAAACAGTCTGCTTTGTCTCCTCTTACAAAATGGATATTGATTGTTCACTCGGGAGGCGACCATGTTGGCGCCTTCTGGCAGTATAACAAATGCTAGGTATCTACATTACACCTAGCGTAATATGCCGGCATAGTGGAAACGATTCGTGAGGAGTGTCTCCGCCTTTGCCGGTCGGCCAGGTACGACAGGTGCTGCGATGAGGGACTAGTTCCTTCGGTTCTCTGGGTTCATTATTTCTTATTTCTTTTTTTACATGCATCGAAATGTATACAGTTGCCACTGTGATCCTTTTTATTAAAAGAGGAGGCAGGACAGTTGGGGCAACATCTAGGCACGGGCATCACCGCTCCGGTGCCCACCTTGGCTAGCATTCTTTTTGTGGAGAGAGCTTTTGCCGCGAAACCCGTGCACCCACACCAATGTTTCATCGAAACGCAATCCCCCAGGGAGAGTCAATACGTAACGGGCTGGCCTATAGGGCGGAAACTGACGGGTTGAAAGGTGGAGCTCGCAGTGGTGGTGGATTAGTACAGTAGGATAGAGGGAAACGCCACTGCTTCCACCGCGTTAGCTGAGAAGGAACAAAAGGATTTTGAGAATAGTCCGGGTGCAGAACCTGTGAATATGGGGGCTGTATGTGCCATTGTTACCCAGATAAAGATAACGCGCGAGAGGAGAAGTTAACATGCAAATTTGGAATTCCGGAGCAAACGGAGAAATGCATGAACTCTCGCGTGGATTGGTGGCGGCATCATTCCTTCAAAAAGATCGCCCTTCTGGCGTATTCGTCCCAGTTAACACACGAAGAAGAGCAGCAATGAGCGCAGTTCAAGGAAGAGCTCTTAGATATACTCAGTAAGAAGGGGCTCCGAACGGGTTGTTCACTCGCTGGATGCGCAATATGCGGCATAGAACTCATTCACGGCCCAGCCCTGAGCCTTGCTCCCAGGTGCTGTTGCCCACCTTTGCTTGAAGAGGATATTGAGAATCGAGCAAAAGAAGTGCTAAAGAAGGCAAATATCAGTCGACAACTCGAACGCGTGGAAACAATCCGGTGGTGGCAAGGGAAGACGACAGGATCTGGCGTACTTACATTGGCTTGGAGCCCTCCATCAAAACCAAGGTGAAACAAGAATTGCAAATTTCCCGGGGTGACTAAGTTATGGACGCTTACAGGGGTCAGCAAACGCATTCGCCGCTTAACTGTGCAGATGTGTTCTTCCATATTCCAAGACATCTCGACCAAATGCAAAAAATGCTCGCAAACTAGAGCGAATACGAGCGCATTTAGGACTCGTCAAGGAACCAGCCCAAGTGCAGAGGCAGACTAATCTAGATTTCTTGATTTCAAGCAATGCGTAAAGCAGCCCGAAAGGCGATGTTCAAACTGCTGCTTTCCTTTTGGATTACCATTTTGCATGGCCGAGCAATATTGGATCTTGTGGCATTGCCTGATGCAAAGAAACCGTATTTGCCGATCTGTACTACTTGCCGGCTTCCTGTGTGCAGGGTTCGCTAGCTACTTGCTGTTCTCCCGCCGTATCGTTTACTGGGTGCCTGTGACTTCACAGCCCCCAAGTGTGTAGGCTTGTGTTCGGATAATTTCCGAGCCCGTAGCAAAAGTAGTAGAAACACTTTTTCCTCTGTGATGCTTCAGTAATCTATCCTTCTGTGAGTTCCACCCTTCACCGCTTTTTCTCCCGCTATGCTGACCAGACAGTTACGGATTGTCACCCCTCAGTCGGCAGCCGTGTAGTGAAGCATTGATATGAAAGTGCTGAGCCCACGATAGCACATCTATTCAACAAGGGTTGATACACATCCGTATAGCGCTCTAGCGATAGCTTCTTTTGTTTGAGGTTCCTTAACTCCTGCACACCCTGTTCCCCTGTCAAGCTGGCGACAAACCTGAACTTCAGCGGGTGAGAAACGTTCGGTACTCCTGATCTACTCTGAAGATCTGAGACGCTTGCTTAGAGAACAAGCTATCACTAGAGCGCTATATCGATGTGCATCAATCCTGTTTGAATAGATGTGCTACCATGGGCTNAACAAGCTATCACTAGAGCGCTATATCGATGTGCATCAATCCTGTTTGAATAGATGTGCTACCATGGGCTCAGCACTTGTATATCAATGGTTCATTGCACGATTGCCTACTGATACCTTGTTCATGCTTCTCAGCAGTCAGGGGAAAATTCGATTCCAGTTATACCTCTCGCTGGGCATTTTGAGGACGAACGTACAGCGCTGCGGGGGCAGAAAACGCATTCGCTGCCCCCCTGGCGAGGTGCGCCGAAACTCTGCAGGGTTGGCAAAGGCACCGGCATTCTTCAAGAACTATCTTCACCGTTAAGGCTATCTCTTCTGGGGGCCTTGCATATATTGCTCCCCTACCCCCTTTTGGACAAAGCTCGGTGGCTACTAACAAGCGCCGTGCACGATACTGCGTAGATTGCGCGGTGAGAATAGTCGCTCGCATGCATAACGATGAACAATGCAGTGTAGAAGACAAAAATTTCTGGGAAAGCAGCGGTGTTCCCCTCCAATCTTCAGGCCTCCTAGGTGCAGCGGGGCAAGGGACTGAGATAGCTGCGTGGGGAACGCGACGTGCTATGAATATCAGCACACCTTGGAACAAGTACTACTACTGCAAGACAGACCCGCACCCAAGCACAGCGAAGCCACCTTTGCTGCATGTTGCAACACCGTAAACAATTGT